TAAATACAGAGGGAGATGTGAGCCTGTGATTTCAAGAACTCTTCAGTTTCTAAATGACCTTTCTGTTGAATATCCTTTTTTGGTGTGTGACTTTATTTGCATATAATAAGGTAAAAATTAAGGAGATTGTTGTTTCATGTGCCACATTTTAAAACAATCTAGGATATTAATGTTTATTTGCTTTGGTTTATCTTTTCACGTGTAGAATTACTGTTTTTTTAAAAGGCATGCTTATTTTCACTTACTTACCAACAAGAAAAAAATACAGCTAGTTGCTTATGGCCACCTATCCCATTCCTCATCCTAATGCTAATACCATTGATGAGTTCAGCTGTATTGAGAGCAGGGTTGATTCTGTAAGCAGTTGGGAACAGGACTGGTTCTGCTTCGAGGATGTGTGAACTAAGATAAGAAGACAATGCTCTTCTTATCTTTGCCTGATTCAAAGTTCCTCACTGTGTCCGTGTTGTTCTACTGGAAAAAAGCATCATAATTGTGTGGGTTTTTTTGGTCTGGGTTCTGATGTGTTTGTGAAAGTTTTCCCCAATGGATTACTGTTAACTGTATTAGCTGTTAGCTACTGTTAGCTATCTGCTGCAAACCCTTTCTGTCTTGTTCTAATATTCACTTGTGTATTGTAAGTTGGAGAAGAATTATTATTCTTTGAATTTTCAGTGGATTAAGAAGAAGATTAAAAATAAAAGATGATTATTTTTGCCGTGACAGAATATTTAAAGGTATGCAGCAGGGAATAAACGATCAGAGCTCATAAAAACATTCCACTGGGAAATCCTTTGCTATTTTAAAATAAAAACAGCTTTTGAGTAATTTTCTAGGGAAGATTGGTAGGCAAGCAAAGGGGAAGGCAAGTAGAATATGACAACCAAAATAATTTTATTTCTCTACAGAACTCTAATCATATAAGAAGAATTCTAATATATTTTTGTCGGTAGAAAGATGACATTCCATAAGTTAATTTTGTTTAGAGAAAAATCATGCGATGTTTACTTTTCTGTTTCTTTGATGTACCATTGAACAGCCAACTTGGAGGCACGCGTAGCCAAAATATCCTATGTTCTTGTGGCATCCCAGAATTAGGGCCGGGAAGGACTTGAAAGTGAAACGTTACTAAAAAAATGTCACAAAAACAGAAGAGGAGACATTTATTTAATTAATAAGATTTATGAAAAGACTAATGAACTCCCTCCTCTTTTATAGGATACGATTATTGCTTCAGTAGGGTTCGAAACATAAAAGTAACCAAAAATTTTAACGTGGTGCATCTGACTTACAGTGTCTGCGGATTTGTTCCTATATGTATACCTGCTGAAATAATCAGCCTCGTATTTCTCTTAAAGCCAATAAGCATTTAATGTTTCATACTGGGTTATGGAGGGTTTCAGAGGCATTTATTCACGTGCTAACTCTCAAGAATGGGGGGTCAGTGATGAAAACGACACTTTTTCCATGGCTGAAACGTCGGGATAGTTTTAGTTTTCAAATTACTGAAATTATATTTGCAGTAAATGAGTTTCTGCTCATGAAATAGACATAATAATGTCAGGACCTAGAAAGGATGAAAAAGTAGATATTTAATAACCCAAGCTCTCCTGAAGAATAAAACTGTGATGAAATTGTATTTTTCTTGGCAGAAACTTCCTAACTGTTGCAAGAGCATTTTCAGATGCTTGGTCCCCAATGCATCGTCACAATGTAAAGCAGCACTGCCTCCATAAATATGCATCTTAAGCCTCATTGGAAATGCTTAAAGACGAGGAAAATAGAGATTAACCAAAATATAAATACCAAAAGCAGATACAATTATTTTTTTCAATGGCAATACTTCAAGCAGGAGTTCCGAGAACAGCAGCTATTCTGCTTAGCTGGGTGGGATTGTACAAAGACAGCTTTAATGCCGGTTCACTTCACCGTGATGTTGTATTAGTTAAGTTTAAAATTGTGTTCCCTGGCAAACCATAAAAGATTTCGAAAGTATTAGACACCCACTTTTGTGCTGGAATTTAATATGCAACTTTTTATTGGAAAATAATCGTCCTTGTCTGGCAAAATCCACCATGCAATATTTCTGTTAGTAGGCATAATGCAATAAAGACAGGGAGGGCTATTTATCACTACAAATTTTGAGGATTTCAGGATTCTTTTTATTATTTTAATATATTTCTTTGGTATTAAATCAGAAAAATGATAAATTACACCTGTCGACGCTGTTTTTCTTTTTTCCCAGAAAATGATGTACAACCCAATTTCACTGGTCATTTTGGCTTTTAAAGATATGTATTTTTTTCCTATAAAAAACTCTACCAATAGTTTTTTTTTTTAATAATAATACTGAAGTACTTTTTATTTCGAACATATGAAGTAGTTTATAACTACTTCCTGGCATTGCAAACTTTGGCCTTTTCACATTATATTAGTTTTTTTAAGCGGCGCTGGGTTTGTATTGCTGTGAAAGAAGCAGGATATTGTTAAGATGCTGGATCCAGTGGATCAATTTTCGGTATTTGGTATAGATTAAACTGTGGCTAGCCTGAAAGGTTAAAATAATAATTTATTTAATTTCAGTTCTTGTCCTGTAAGTCAATCAGCTTCTTGACAGCCTTTGAAATTGGGTTATTTAGGGTTGGTTTTTTCTTGGTGTTTTGAACTGTCCTTTTTTCTGTTTGTTTTTTTTTTTTTGAATGATTGTCTGTGATTAAAAGCAAAACATTATTCCAGTGACTCTGTTGTATAATAGGAAAATTTAACAACTAAGGAAAAACATAAAGCATTATTAACAACAAAGGCTTTGAGCTGGTGTCGTGGTTTACATTACTTTCACAATTATTACAGGTTTGCATATTTTGAAATGTATTAGCCCAATTTGATTTCAAAGCTCAGTTATTTGAATTATAAATCATTATGTCCCTCCTAGCTGATCAGTCCTGAAATATCTTTGAATTAATTTACATAATGGAATGTTAGTCATTCCTTTATGTCTTGGAAGCCATAGTTCTCCCTCATGCACATTTAGTTCTTTCTAATAATTAACTTTTCCCCTGTATATTTCTGTATCAAAATACCCTCAGTTTCATTTTTACTTTGCACGGGGGCACGAGTTAAAATATTTGAGAGACTCTCAATTCTTTATCCACGTCTTTGTTAGCCTTACAGTGCTATGGAAGGTGCTCTCTCTTAACAGGAAAAAATGAAGTATAAACTGTAGCTTTGCAGTATAAAAACATGAAAATGCTGTAGATCGACAAAGAATCATCTTAAAACTAGATTAGGGGATTTTCTAATAGCAGCTACGAAACCTATTGGTACACTTTTATCCATTTAAAAAGAACGTAATCCATTTAAAATGAAAAGGGAAATTGCTTATTTCTGTAAAAGTAATCCAGCACTACAACCAATTATGTGCAAGAATGGCAGAGTGAAGCTCTTGGAGAGGAAAACAGCAGTAGTAAGTTATGGGTGTTTGTGCATACATGAGCACATGCTCTCCTGTGAAGTTCTGCAGTTGCATACTGATTATTTCCTAAAGAACTCAATCAATGCCAAGGATAAATAAGTATTGAGTAAATGACTCCTATTTTTATAGTGCTTGTGAAGTGTACAAACCTGCAAGTCCTTTTATTTCGTGCTTTTGATGCATAGTTCTGCTTCTTGCATTTATTTTATGCTATTTTGGAAAAAGTGCCTTAGTGCACTTGGATACACGACATGGAACTGAAACACTGGGATTTAAGTGACTTGCTGAAAGTTATCCAGCAATTTTATTTCAAACGAAGGAGGAGTTAGCAAATGCAGGCCATCACTCTGCCCATTCTCATGTGCAGGCATCCCTGAAGGCAGCTCTACCTGCAGCACAAAAGCTGTACCTGCAGTGCAGTACTGGCCAATGTTATCTCCTTCCTCCAAGTCCAGATGTTCGAATCATTTGTGATAGGAAATCAGTGTGTCATCATGTTGTTAAAGATGTTTGTATTCCTGCTGCTGGCAAAGGACTCAAGCTGTGGAACAAGTCTTGACCCCCTTACCTGTTAGAGCTTCTGCAACTAAAGCTTTGCAAGTTCAGCACATATGAAATAGGTTATCTTTTGTGTTACTTAGTGCATCCCCCTGGGAGCCATCTGTCATACAAGCAAATGCAGACGTGCTGAAGCCGCGACTAGGCCGCTTTTGTCCAGAGCTGGAGAGCTGTACTGGTGCCATGGGGAGACCAACACCATGCAGCCTTCCTGCACAGTGCTTCCCTGGTGTCTCAGCATCACGAGACACGAGACTCTCCTAAGAAATTTATGTACAGTTCTGATACATCTGCAAATACTTGGGTTTTGTGTTTGACGTCGCTTAGTACGTATAAGACACACGTTCATCTGTTGTAACTGAAGCACATGAGACAGGCCCATAAGATTGCGTGTGGTTCAGGGGCTGTGAGGTCAGTGCTGCTTGGGGCTGCTGCCAGTCCATTGCCAGCTGCCCTTCTTCAGCACTGCCAGTTGCAAAACTGCTTCTACTGTGCTGATAACGTGGGGCTCTCTGAGGAAAAAAATGATCGTTTCTTATCAGAAACTCTGTTTAATTATATAAAAGTCATTTCATTCGTCTCTTCTGTGACCAGAATATATGCCATGAAAAGTAATTGCTTTAATTAATAATAGATTATGGTCTTTAATGTTCTGAAGAGTATCTTCATGACACATTTCCAGTTGAAATTCAAGATCTTCTTCATTTAAATTTGTTATTGTTTCAGTTGGGACATTTTTCTTGTAAAAAAATCCTGTAAGTTTGTACAACCTGATTACGTAGCAGTAATGTCTCAAGGCTGGTATTTCCTTAACACCTGCTACTGATAGTTTCCTAAAAAGACTTGTGAAAACAGACGCTGTGAAATTCATGCTTCAGAACCACACAGTAACATTACAAGATTAAAAAATGTTGAGTTTGTAGTAGATGTTGCAGAACACGTAACTTTTCATACACTTCTGTTTCAACAGAGGAAGCATTTCCCTTTCTTGGGCTTCAGTGATAATTACAGCATCAGTGACCTTCAATGCCAGACGATGTTCTACGCTGCTCTCACTCATCTTCTCATGGTAAATTTAGGTAAGATCCTCCTCAGGTGTCCCTGCAACACCTTAGTGTCTTGTTAAGGATTTGTAATGCTATGAATTTTTATGGTAATTTAACCAATTAAACATTTAACCAATTAAACAGCAGTTTAATTGCACAGTAAATATTTATGTTTGTATTTAAATTACTGCCTATCAACTTCAGAGATTGATGGCATTAAGCAGTAGCAGCATATGTGTTGCCTTCTGTTGGAGAAATAACGTAGGCAAGTTGGGTGTTTTTTTCTTTTTGCACAGCATTTCCTAATAGGAGATATTTACAAAACAAGGGCCTGAATAATGCTTTGAGTTTCAAGGTGATGTACTGATTGGGCCAGAACTTTACAGTTTCAAGTGTAAGTTTTGTTTATCTCATTTATTCATGCAAGTTCTCAGTATACAAAGGCCACGAGTTTAATTAGAGCATTGGTCAGAGTTCTGCAGTTCAGCCTTCAGCACTTGAGGTTGTATCTTGAGTTGTCCTTTGGAAATTAGAGAGTTTAGATGTGTAAAACTCAGTGCTCACATTAATAGCTAGATGTGAGGGTGCATGCAGTCACTTCGAATCCTGCCACTGCCTTTTGCCACCTGAATAAAATGTGAAGCTCCATCTGCTGTCTCTTGTCTAGGCTGGGGAGGCTGAGATAGTCAAAATGGTCACTGCAACAAACCATGTGTTAGAGAAGCTGATAGTGAATAGTGAACACATCATGACTCAGACCGACTGAGTTCTGGTCAGGGGCCCAGAGCTGATCAGAACCGTGGGCCTGTATCAGCTGGGGATCCACCTTACAGAACGCTTTTTTGGGGGCAGGTGTCTGTAGATGTTCTAAGATGGGGCTGCTGACGAGAGCTTTCAAAAAATAACGCAGCAAGTCTTTCATGTACTGATTTCTGATCTTCACACAAGAACTTAACTGGGCAACGAGACTGAAGAAATTGACACAGAGCTGTAAGTCAATAGTAGCTGATATCCCCTTTGATGTTAATGGGTGCCTGTACTGTCTGCTGCTAAACATTGATGAAAATAGTTGAGTTGGAGACAAGACCAAACTGTAGTCATCAGCTTTTTTCTTAAAGAAGGGTGGCTGTGACCTGGACCTGTCTTTTCTTGGCTAAGTGTCACATTAACGTAAGCAGCAGTAGGTAACTTTTTCTAGGTTACACATACAGATTCATGTTTCCTGTAGGTGAAAAAAAATGTGTAAGAATGAGATTGTAAGTATTAAAAATAACATCATCAGACAAAGTGCAGACGTGACTTATAAATGGCTTCAAGCTAATAAAGGCCATTCTGATTCTCCTGGGTTTACATCTCCACAAGATCTGACATGGAGCTTCTGAAAAAGGCATGCATCAGTCTTTTAGCTGTTGTTCCTCCTGAAGTTAATTTGGAATTGAAGTGGTAGAAAAGCAAATCTGGAGCAACAAACAAGTCTAAGTTTGCATTTTGGGATTCAAATTAAAAAAAAAAAAAAGCAAAGCACACAGTGCTTTCTATATTGTTTGTACAAGAATTAAGTGGTAGCATTACGGGAATGAAGGGATATTAACAAACTGTGCCTAGTAGTATTTTTAGACCAAAAAGCATTGTACCAATTGTCTTCTCCAGCTTTTTCAAGAGTTTATATCAAATCTTTTTATATGATATATCTAAATAATTTACGAAGGAATAAAACTGAGATGAATTTTCATCAGTGAGTCGTTCTGAGTAAAAGTTTGTTGCAGAAATATTTTGGAGATTAAGCAGATACAGTACATTGAGAATGTTTACCTCTTGAACAATGTGCTCTTTAAGCGCCTGTAGTGGGACTGTAGTGGGAAAAACAGTAATATATTAATTATTATTTGCTTTAAAATGTGCTTGGATTCTGTTGAATAATTTTAACATTGTATAATCAGACTGAGAAATCTTTGTATCCCAGATTGTCTTTGTAATAATTTTGGGGAGGTTGAATTTAGAATTGTACCATTTTGTCTGACTGGCTCTTGGTCCAAGATTTCTAAAGTAAAGAAAGTATTCTGTTGTGTGAATTAGAGAGTAACGAAAACTAATGCAGAAAACACCAGTAAAAGGTATGTTTAAAAGTTCTTAAATAAGGATTAGTAAGGTTTTTATCACTTCTTTTTTCATTGCTCAAAGTAGTAGATATAAACTGTAGGATATGCCTCCAGGATCTATTCTGCATGATTTGTTAGCATCCTGTACTTACAGGTATATGCAGTCGTGCCCTGTGCCAAACCTCTCCAAGTAAAGCAGGTTTAAAAATATTGCCTTAAGCCATGTGTGGACCTGATGTAATGAGCATAGGACATTGAGGATGTGTACGTGTAGTTTGAGTTACAGCAGATGAACCATAGTAGGTTTGTTAAGCATAGGTTCTTTCCTTCCTAGGTAGTACTGCAGTGATCACGGGATGTGGATGTTGCTTATAGGAGAATGTGAAAGAAATCTTTAGATAATAATTCGGTATGTAATTAACAGGAGGTACACAATTTGTAAAGAGATGGAAAATAACGTGAACAGTAATTGTTTAACTTCTAGGAGAGTAAGAGGAGGCTCAAGATGTTGGTGAGGAGAACAAAAACTAGTACTGTATTGGAACTGACTGAGGAAAGGAGACAGAAAAAGGTGGATGAATGGTATGGAACTACTGTGAATAAGAGGGAGGGGACAGAAGGCTTCAGGAAAGGCAAATAAAAAGGCTGAATCAGGTCAGCAGAAAGGAATGGGGAGAAGATGGTGGAGGAGACAGGCAAAGATGGATGGGATTAAAGTCCCATTTCCTAAAGTCCACCAAATCCTATTGCTGCCAGCAGTGGCTTTGAAATCTGACACAGCATCTCAGCTTCCTTTGTTCTGCACGGGCAGGATGGAAGTTACAGATGTCATCACTTACTTCGCTATTTGGAGAAAGTTCTTGAGCATAGTTTGTGATTTGAAGGTTCTGATTCATCAGCTGTCAGTGAATGCAGCAGCAGCAGCAAGTTATTGAAAGTGTTTCCTTTGCTTTAAGAAAACTCCAGAAAGCTGGGCATGAAAGCCCTATGTGAAAAGGAAGCAGTTCAGGTCACAAAGCCAAGTAAGTAACCAAGTAAGTTCCCAAGTAACTGGGAAAATGCTGTGACTGAGATCACCTGAGATCACCTGTCCATTTCCTCTCCATTGTAAATACATACGCTGTTATGAGACAGCTTTAGTTGCAGGTTCACAATTATTCTCTCAGAGGAATTTGCCTCTTTCAGTTCAGATGATGTGTCATCCTTTAATGAGTAACTACTGAGTATTTTGTTTTTCTGTGTTGCTGTCTGGATTTGTGTGTTAGTCCGCATTTTGCTTCCAGTTGGGAAGGCAGAAGTTTTCTGTTTTGGGATAAATTATTTGGTCTATGAGAAAAGAGGTTGGAATTCGACCCCTTTCACAGATGGGTATATGAAATGTAGAAGCAAAACTTTAAAGTTTATTCTACATTTTTTTCAACTAAGTTGGTACATGGGAGACTCCATTGATCTTTAGTTATGTCTTATAGTATGTCTATTGTATCCGTCAGTTGCTCAGGAAATAACAGTCCAGAATAAATGGTATAAGGGTAAGAGAATGAAAAAGATCCCAGTGTTGGATGAAGGAGCAGTGTAGGCCAGGTGCTGTCTTTGGCACTGACCACTGATAGATGCTCAAAGCAGAAGCTACAAGTGTTTCCCGTGTATCCTTTCCTAGATTTGATTTGCCAGTTAAAAGAGAAGTGAGAGGAGTCCTATAGCAAAGAGCTCTTTAAAGAACATAAGTTAAGCTTCTACACTTAATTGACCTAGAGAGGGTGAGTGTGTGTGGCAGGAAGACTGCCTGCATTGAAGAGCTAAACATAAGTAGCGTGAGTACCAGTTCCCACGCAAACTGCCATTTATAAAGAATGTGTTGTTGTTTATAATTACACTATAACAGGGCAGTGAAACAGTCCAGTCTTCCTACTGTCTAATCAAGACAATCTTTTGTTCCCTTTCCCGCAACATTTTCCTTCGTTGGCTCCAAATTCACAGCTCTGAAACAAACAAGGCGATGGCGTTGCACAGGTAACCACAACATAGTCCAGATTCATTTCCGTGGCAGCTTCATCCTGTATACTGAGTATGTAGGAGGTAGAAAAAAGAGCATTTAATCAGAAAAGATCCTGGTTTAAATGAAATACAAGCATGAAAGAGTCTGATTTACTGTTGCAGCCTTAAATCTAACATTTTCGAACTGTTGAGTCTTGATATTTTAGGTGAATGTTCTTCTGTGGTACTGAGCGAATGGTGTCTGAGGAACAGAGAAAATGAAAACAAAAGGGGAGAGGTGTGAAATGCAGAGACATGCCAGTCTCAGTTGTTTGCGACCAGCTATTTGCCTTTTATATACATCTCATTTAAAAATACATGTGTGTCAAATCTCAGATTTCTCTTCTCGCAGTGCTGATGAAAGTTCCAATGATGTCAGATTTTATTATGAAAGCTTAAGAGACTGACCCTCCTGAAACAGTGGTGTGAATATGATGGGATCCTTTTCTGTTTTTGGTTTCTTTTCCTGTAGGTGAAGATGAGAATGAGTTCAAGAATTTCATGCTGCTCCTCACAGTTTCATTTGAGTGTGACTCAGATGCTCAACAGTAGTTTAGAACAAGAGGCAAAGGTAGGTTTATTTCAATTACAAGGAAATAAATTATTGATGAAAAAGACTTAATGGTAGGGCAACTGTTGAGCCACAGATTGCCATCTCAGTTCTCTTTCTGTCTGTTGAAATGTATATACCTGTATATTGATATGCATATTAATACTTGTATGCATACATGGATAATTAAGTATGTAGGCAGTGGAGATGCAAAGGCCATGACTGACTATCATGAAAGAAACTTTGTACAAATATTTGATAAAGACCTTGGGATTTTCAGTGTTATATGAAACTCGTTTGAGTTCCATTTGTAATCAAAGGGAAAATGTTAATTCATTGGTAGTTTATCTGTTTCATATTTCCTTTTTCTACGCTAGTATCCTATTGTGTTTATTAACATATCTATTAGGGAGTATAAGGAGACGTATTGTAACACACTTGATAAAACACTGCTGCTTTAAAGTATTTTTTTTTTTTTTTAAACAAGAATTTATTATATAAATCAAGACTTTATTAAATGGCTGGGCATATATGTATAAATAGGAACTGGTCTTGAAGTATTGCACCCTTAAACTGAACAAAGTGATTAGGATAACTGATAGCTAAATAAGGTTTTTATGTGCCTGTGGGAGCCATATTAGGATTGATTTGACAAGTCAGTTCAGCTGTGGCAACAGTCATAATATCTAACACAACATTATGTTTTATTAGTAAAATCCTTAAGTGCAGCAAGCTGTTTGTGTCAAAACAACAGTATATTTTAGGGAAGAAAAAGACTTGCTAGATGCAAGCTGCATCATCAGGAATGATAATATATTAGGGAGCTTTTGCATTAAAGAGAGCCCCTTCCACTGCCACTGAATAAATAGTTACAATGCAGGCTGGAACCTTGCTTCAGCCACACAGGGTAATTTGGAAGGCACCCTCATACCAATCTACTATTTTAAAATAGTTTACCAAATAATGGAAAATTAAGCAGACGTCATCATTTTTTATCCACTTCTTTTTGTAAAAAAAATGAGCAGATACACAAGAAATATTTATCCAGTGATTTATCTGCAGTGCATATCTGACATTAATAGAGGATGCACAGCTCACAGTAACCACCTGAGTTGAGCTATTGTCTTTTAAAAATGATGCTTAGTATTATTTCAGTGTATACTTATTCGAGTATCCTTAATTTGCTTATATATTTAATTTTAGTATCTTTTTGTTTGTGACATACAGGCAGTTCAACTACTTGGGGTTCATCTTTTATGTTTTAAAGTCCTTAATTCAAACAGTTGTAACGAAGGGGTCACTGGATATCGTTATCCTTTCTGCAGGAGGCAGCATTTACCTCGTGTGAGAATTCCATTTATTAAAATAATTTTGCTGCTGTCCTGCCTGGTTTGTTAGGAACCATCTCAGCAGAGAAATTTTAATGGAGTGCCAGTGATATATTCCTAAACTAGCAAGTTCTTAACGACCCTGGAAAGTGACTGCTTGATTACACTTTAACGGTATTTGCAAATAAAATCACAAGTAATTAAGGGGAAATCTCCAGGCTTTTGAGCAAGTTTGATGCATGATAACTGCCTGATTCAGCTTCATCTAGAGTAATGCTGTGTAGACAAGAGCTACTGAGATCAATAGCAACATAATGATAGTGGCAGAATTAAGTGAGTAACCTGAGAACTGTGTCTTCAAAATGCATGCAGCTGCCACAAGCCAGGGCCACACAGTGCACTCCGTGCTTCCGTCCTAAATGTTCATCAAAAGACGCCCTGCAGGAAAATGGAGTTAGATGCTCTTTATTGCTGATCGTGTCTCTTGCCACATTTATCAGGGAAATTGGATTAGCAGTTGGCAGCTGCAGGTAGACAAGGTTCTGCAGTGATTAAATATGCAGCTTGGCTGCATTTGTTGTGACAGACCTTTAGTAAATTCTACTGTAAGCACCATCTGTCTAATTTGTATAAAGAAAACTTGGTGCTTTAAGCTACTGATAAAGGACTAAATCTGTTGCTTTATCATAAACAAAACTTTTGCTCTAAATTCTCTTAAATGTAATTTATTGGGTTAAAGCTATTTTTCTATCACGATGGATAAATAATACATGCAAAAGTGCTTTCAGGTACTTCATTTCCCAAGTACTGAGAACAAAAACAGTTCAGTTCTTCAATAAAATGCTTAGTATTCCACTCCACAGGGAGATGACACTGTTAAAATATCACTATGAAAATGGTCCAGGACTGCCAAATTCATTTAATTTGTGGTTTTTACTAGGACTTTCTAACTGGCTAGGGTTTTTGTTTCGTATTTCTGAACTGCTCCACTGAAAAGCAGTCACAGCACGGGAGCTCTTTCTTTTTAAAACACATTTGTAATCGTTCGGTCTGCATGCAGAACGTATGGTTAGGTTTCTTTTCTGGTGAGATCAAACCTAATTGAAGATGGCTTAAGTAACTGCGCGTCGCTTTTTTCCCTCTCCTGGTTCCTTCTTCACGTTTTGGTATTAATACAAAAGATGTCCCGTATTAAAACAGAGGTGATTTTCCCCTAAGAATTTCGGGGTTTCTCGTGCCAACCCGGTGAGGTAATGCACTGACTGGGCAGCCCGAACCTCAGGCGTACTTTGTTTAGAGTTGTGACATCATCAGGTTTGATAGAAACGGGTGAAAGAAAAACCATCTGAGGAGAAAGCAGTTAAATAGCAACATGCTATCTTTAGCCGGTTTGTAGAAACTCCATGCTGTTAAATTATTTAAAATCCTTGATTTTCAGCTTGCACACATTAAAAGTTTTCACACTAAGTGCCAAATGTTGCAAACAGCACTTTAACAGAATGATTTTGCTTTGATCCCTGTAGCAGTTCCTGAATAATTTATCACAGGTTATTGCCTTAATTCTGGAGAGGGATAGAGCAATAAAGGCAGATGAAAACACTCCAGTTGAAACACCTTGGGGCCTGCTCATTCCTCTGACACGGCTCTTTTGTTGGAACTATTTAGAGGTTATTAAGACGTGTCTCCAGAATTAAGAGTATGCTGTAAGGATGAAGACAGCCATCTTAATTCTAAAGACAAAGCGCAATGACCCTTCACCTTTTTTTTCCTTTGTTGTTATTATATAGTAGAATTATGAGGGTAATATTATAGCTGCACCCAGTAGTGCCACTATGGTTAAGGGTCTGTCAGACTTTCCATTACAAACCCTGTTTTGGGGGTGGGTGCCGTGAGGAGTCTCATCCCTGCTCAATTGCTGAAGTCAGGCAGTGGGCACACGCTGGCACGTCAGGATGGTTGCTCTGAAAGCATTTGCACGTTCATTTCTTTTCTTTTAAAAGCCTGCTGAAAGGGGCTCAGTCGGGACTTTGAACCAAAACGCTGCAGTTTGTAAAAACTGGTTTGATGTAACGCTCGAGGAAGGATATTTTCAAACTGAAATTTGATGAAAATTGTTTCTTTAGCAGGAAAATCAACGTGTAAGTCTGGGTACGGCTGACGAGATCTGTTCTCTGTGTGTCCTGTATTTATGGTAGTTTGCTTCTCATCTTACTCGTTTTGCAGTTACTGGTGCTGCTGTCTGCTGTCCCTTTGCCTCAGAAGTGGCTGGTCATAGTTGGGATGAAGCAGTGTCTTCATGTGCTCCTCAGATTGCTCTGTTAAGTTTGCAAGGCACTTTCAGTCCTCCGACATGACAGCTAAAGGCAGACGTATCAGTGTTACTGTTTGCCTCTAATAAGTTTTGTGCACGTGGATGCTATTTGAAACATCGCAGTAGACCAGTAAATGTGAAAAACCTGAATGTCTTGGGAATTGGATGGTTTTGGTGAGGTCCTGGCCTGGTGTTTATTGTTGTTGGTTTGTTGGTTCTTTGCTAATGTGACTTCAATATATATGGAATCCAGAGGTTTTTGCTCTGAAACTGAAGTTTCAGGATACTTGTTAGCAGCGACATAAATGGAGCAGGATTTATCTTGGGATTCTGCAGCACTGCATACAGGCTGCTCGGACCCTCAGCTGTCAGAGGTCCTTTTTTATTAAGTTGAGCTCCGATTCAGAGCATCTGAACTAAACCACTGAGTTCTCTGGAATTGTACGGGACAAGAGCATTAACTACTGTGCTGCTCTGTAGATTGAGGCAATTTATCAAAAATAATGTAATTAATGGTATGGGCCTCTTAATATCTAAACTGAAAGGCAGGGTAAGCATGTTGTGGGGATATACACTGGGCTGGTTGCATTCATCTAGGCCATGCTCTAGAGATGGCGAGTTCAACGTCAAGCAAAGCCAAGTCCATGTCTTTCCAGGGATTATAGCTCTCCTTCTTCCTCGCATCAGCCTTTACTTTGTGCAGGTATTTATTCCTATTCCTTACCTCATTTTACTTTATTTTATTTTATTGTGGCTAGTATGGGCAAGAGAACCAAAATCATTCTGGAAGATTTCCTCTTCCCCATGTATTGTTGCATCTTTGTATCCCTTTGGAAAGAAGTGTAAAAAGCATTGCTGCCTTGTTCTTCTCATTCTTTATGTTTTGGCTGCCATGTCTGCCACAGAGTTATTTTCTATGTGGGCAAAACAGTGCACAAAGTATGAAAATGCAGATAAATAAAAGGATAAAATTACGATTTTATGTCATATCTTCTCGGTATTGAACACTTCCTCTCTAGTGATTTCAGAGTCCCATTAAAGTTAATGAGAGTTGAGACCTCTGAGCATCTTGAAAGTTCAGGCCATTAGAATGCACAACAGAAAGGAAGTGCAAATATTAAAATACTCCTAGCAGCCTCACCGCTGTTTCAGAGAGGACTCAGTTTATCCTCAGATAAATCTATGTGTATGCCATCCAAGTCAGTTGGACTAATGTGTCTGTATAGGAAAAGTAGAAATCAGCCCTTGTGTAGGATTACATGGAGCGGTTTAACAAGGCATCAGCCATGATTTGCTCTTTGTGCGATCAGTTAGAATTAATACCTGAATCTTACCTTTGACGTTTCCCAACTCTATCGATATTATATTATCAATGAGTGCAGTTTTGAGAAGTCTCTTTTTAAAAAGAGAACTCCTGGCTCTTTTGTTGCCATGCTTCTATCATTTTTTAACCAGGCTCTGCAGTACTGTGGGCTTCAGAATGGAAAAAAGAAATCCCTACAAACCCCACCTGCCACTATTTATTAGTGCTAATTCACTGTCAAAAAAGAACATTTGTTTAACTCCATTCAAAAATGTGTCTATGTTGTGAAAATACTTTTCAGTCACTAACGTTTTTTTATTATTTCTATTAATTATCGTGAAAAACCCTTGTAATAGGGGCTAATTATCTACATGTAGTTTTGTCTGCCTTTGAGCTGGAAAGGTTCTGAAGCCACAATTCATTAAAGGGAAGAAAATCTCAGAACTGATGTTAGTACAGATAGGGATTCACTCGGTCCCCTATAAATAAACATCCATACTTTTTGAAGAAGCCTATTTTGGAAAATGACTTAAAAAAAAAAAAAAAATTAAAATAACAGTACAATGAGAATCTCAGTATAAGCTTAAATGTAGCTCGTTACGACTACCAATTAGTCTTAGACCTCATTTTAAAATATTACAGGCTTAAATTAACATTTTATTGTTACTGCTACTTTAAATATATTAATACAGGAAGTACTTTTAAACTTAATGCACTGTATTCGAGCATTGTTTTAATTTGCATTATTCATTAGTATGGTATATTGAATAATCAAAAGCATTTTCTAAGCATTTTGCAAGTGTTCTCTCTATCAAAGTAGTGGAAATCTTGTTTGTTGAAAGAGTCTCAGTGTTTTTTATTAAAAAAAAAAAAGTATTTGAGCAAGGCATTTAAACTAATGAATCAAAATCAGATATGTGGTCATTATTGGCTGATTATTACTCCATCTGCTCTGTGCTAACGTGAAAATCAATTACTGTGTCTCTTTCCCACTGACAGCGTATGTTGATCGGGCTGGCAAGAGATCTTCGAGGGATTGCCTTTGCACTAAACACAAAGACCAGCTACACCATGCTGTTTGACTGGATGTATCCTTATTACACTATGACAATACCAGCTCTGTGCACAGAGGGATACCAGGCCCCTTGCATTAGTTTAATAGTATGGCACAGTGGGGAAGAGGAAACAAAGCTAAATGAACTAATGTGTAATCAGCTAAAATTACAGCACAATGGCAACCATGCAGTTAACTGGGAAAGACCACAGAGAGGTCACTTTTTTGTTATGTCACACTGCTAATCTGGAAATCGCATCCAAATGGGTTCTGTCCCTGCTTAAATCCATAATGTTTTTGTAAAGAGAAAGCTGTGTTCTAAAGCACTACGTACCTGTGATTGTTTTAACATCAGAAGTGCTTTTAAAAAATCCTGTACAAGAGCAATCTGGGGGGATTTCTCTCTGGTATGAATCATGTCTTTAATTTAGTCAGTTACTGTCTATTTATGTCAACTCTATTAATATCACAACACCTGCAGTCTTCCTGATCAGAAGAAAATGGACTTCTGAAACCAAAATCCGAACGTTTAGGCTGCAGCTTTCTGTGATAAATAATGATAATGCAGCTCTGTTTGCTTTCAGTATTGTACGTATTTTTGTACCAACAAATATGGTAATTCTCATGGGTATTTTCTGAATACTTAGAGAAATGTTTTGTATTTTCATAAATACAGTAGGCATAATTCTTTTTAGGCATAGTCATATTAGCAAGAAAATACTGCAAAATGTAGTGAAGCAACTGCAGCTACTGGCTTTATAATTTAGATCTCAAAGCTGTGGAAGTTAATTATGTTTATTCTATGAGCAGAAAAAATAATGTTCAAGTATAGCTGCATGTTTTATTAGAAGTGAAGCTTCTAAAAATATTTCAGTTAAATAATGAACATCTTCTGTTTGCCAATCTTTTTTTTTTTTTTTTTTTTTTTGTGTGTGTGTGTGTGAGGTAAAAAAGAATGCATTATCAGAAATGGTGAGTAGGACATTATCCTGAAAGGATGACAGGCTGTAGAACTGAGCCTGATACGATCTGATAAACATCCTTGTGTGGTGGGCAGAAGGATTGTGATAACCATTCAGATAAGCCCTATTTAAGACCTTAACAAGCTAGCAATGATTCTGTCCATGTGCAGGCTCTGCTTGCATGACACAGCTTGCAGGAAAAGAAAAAAATCCAAAACAGAAGGCAATAGAATCTTTTTTTTTTTCCTTTGAAAATCAATGGAAAGCATCACTTAATTTCAGATTTAGAGGACTGGAGAAAAAAAAAAAACAACAAACCACCGAAGCCAGTCTGTGAATTAGCATCTCATTTTCTAGGAAGCACCATTGGGGTACGTTTAACTTCATTAGTACTGCTTGTGCTTATGTTACTCTAAAACTTAATAATATAGTCTGGAGGCTGTGTAAAAGTAGATCAGTACTGTTTCAATTCCAGATTCATTTTACTTTGTTTTTCCTGGTACGGCACGAGTTTCACACTGCTCTGTGCTAAACTGGAGAGCTGCAGCTACAGAGAGGGGGAGAGGAGAGACTTACCTCCTCTGCATTTGAAAGAAATGGATTCATCCTTGGAGGAGGTTTTTTTTTCTGCAGGGATCCAGGATACGTAACCCTCGAGATCCTTTCCTGTATGAATTAAAAATATATATATATTAATTTCATTTCATAAATTAAGTTCATGTCAGATGAACAAAACCAGCCTTAAACTTTTGGATTTCGTGAATCTATATTAAGAGTATAGATGGACTAAAATGAGTCTTTGTGGCATTTGAAGCTTAAGCTTTCCCAGGTACCTTTCCCTTGCACAGGTTCAGAATATCTTTCCTTACCACCCTTGGCCATAAAGGATAGCTGTGTGCTTCTGAGCAGTGGCTTTCACCTCGTTTGGCTGAGTCCAGTTTCAGCCAGGTGTCGATCCAAGGCATTACAGCAGAATAAGTTGCTGTCATCACAGCTCCTATGTGCTGTAAAAGCAGCAGAAAGGGAAACTGCTAAGAGAAGGGAGGGTCAGCATCTGATCGTATCGTTTAGATATCTTCTGATCAGTATATTTCTTGCTTCAAAGATAGTGTCAGAAAATTTAAAATTGACTTAAATTCTAAAGGCAAGCTGTTTTTCCAAACAGATTTTAATTCTGTACTATTTGAAACTTTAGGCTTTTAATATTAAAAACTGCAGATACAGGATATTATGCAAAATACATTTTATTTGCTTGCATTTGTTCAGGCAATAAATAATAAGGATAGGCAAGAAATAAAAGTGTGAGCTTTTAATACCACGAGATCATTCTGTACTGAAGAAGCACAGAAGCAGTGGCTTACGAATCACTGACAGCAGAATTTTCCAAGGAAATATTTTGGGTCTAATCCCTGTGTTACCAAATGAATTACTTGTAGTGTTTGCTCAGGTGAGAGATTCCTCTTTTTTTTTTTTTCTGATCCAAGCGTTTAGGATTTAACTTTTGTCCAGTAGATGGCAAAAATGAGCAAAAATAATTCCTTTCAAGTCCTTTCAGTCTCGAGAGGAGCAGTTGGGGGTGGGGGTGACACCCCTGTATCCTCTATTTTACCATTATGATAGAGTTATTAGGATCGTGGTTTAGAGGTGAATCGTCAGGTATGCTCGAGCTGCACTAGGTTGCCAAATAGGGCTGTTATGTAGCAGGCTTGCTTATACTAATTGAGTTTCTGTAGCAAATCAGGCTCCTTGGAAAAAGGCCAAAGGCTTTTCATAATTGTATTGACAAGAAAATGAATATGATAAATGGTGTTCATTCAGCTGAGACAAGATTTATAGTTTTCCTCTGGCAAGGGACAAAGAGAAAATACTTACAATAATAGTGAAATTTGTTTTAAAGTTGTATTAGGTGATCTCTCAAAAAAAAACTGGTTTAAAACGTTTCAAAATATTTTAAGCTGTTTTAGGTGTTATGTGTAGCATCTTCCTGAAGAATTCCAGTAATGAAAGATCACAGAACCACAGAACAGTTTATGCTGGAAGAGACAGCAAGCTCCAATGCGTGCTGTGGGCAGGGTTGTCCCCCAGCAGATCAGGCTGCCCAGGAGATGAAGGAAAACATCACACGAACCAACAAAGAGCATAAAAAAAACCTGGATATGAAAGTCATTTATTCTTCCCCAAACACTGATATGTCAAGCTGTCAGTGATTCCAGTACCACAGCTTTGGAAAGTTCTTGCTTTTTATAATTGCAACATGTGGGTGCTGTAATTTGTAGGCCAGTCTTGAACTTGAATGTACAGCTGTTCCGGCCTCAAGAAATGGGAATTATTAGAAAATAATCAAAGTCTGGTTTTCTTAATGGTGATGATGATTGTCTTCATTTATTTCATTCTGTTTCTTACTTCAAGACTGCACGGACAAGATTCTGAATGCTTAATGTGTTTCTTCCTGCTCATATGAGACTGTAGTCTCAGGTCCTTGGTCTTGCAGTCAGATCAATCCATGGCGATTTGGTTCTGAGTTGAGGATGATATCCACTTTTCTGTACCTGCAGTCAGTATTTCTTACAGTTAGGTGGAAACGTAGAGGCAGTCTTGCTCTGTTCCTCCCAGTTGATTCTGAGTATTTAATGACTTCTGATGCCTGTAAAAGAAAAAGGTTGCAAGAATTAGGCTTCTGGGTTGAGTCAGAGTTGCAGTGTGCTGGATAGCACAGGGTGTGTGTGCATGAGCACGTGAAATTGTTGAGAACCGTTCCGATAAAGATGGAGATATCTATACAGAGAGAGACACATAGCCATGAAGTTGATGGAAGTGGTCTGTCCTGGAGGAGTTCTAGGTGTCCTTTAGGGCTTGTGTTACCTTGGATGTCTGAACGTATGCTTCTTTAGGTCTTTTTACCAAATCTTTTTACCAAGTTGTCATTGTTACATATTTATCCAAATCTGTTTGATATTTTTAACAAAATAAAGGCATTTACAGCCCAAAGTTGGCCTCTTCAAAAGTATTTCTTTAAAGAACTGAAATTTTAGGTTTATATGTTCTAAGGATTCAGAATTTGAAAGAGCCCACTAAACAACTGTAGAGATGAAGGTTTTCAAAACACATTTTCCCATGAAACAAGGCTATACACGATCCATAAGCTGTGTGTAATGGGTGTTATTGCCAACTGCATTGGTTGAAATCTTAGCATTATTTCTTGCAGTTTACATTCTTTTCAGCTTGAACAGTAAAGCTGGTAAGGTTACATTTGTGAATTAGCCAGATTCCTTGAAGTTTGTGGTTAAAATACTTAAAAATAACGTTGTCTTTAAAACTAATTTCTTCTACTTTATTGTTGTTGGTTGTTTGTTTTTTAATAGCAGATTGCTGAAGCCTTTCTTTTGACCCTAGCATTTACAAAATGCACCTGTGGTTTCCAGACTATCCTTGACAATTAATGTGAGCTTAATGCTTGAGCTTGTGAATTGGGAGAGTTAATCATATTGGATGTAGCTGCTTACTCATATTTTTGTTGTAAGATTTGGCTGTCAGGTTACTCTGTCTTCTGTTTTCGCAGCCTTTTACCACCTTCCTTTTATGTATGTAGGCAGGCTGAAGAGGAAGTTTGGCTTTGGAGATGAATCTCTCAGTTCAGTCTGTACCCTGTGTGACACTTGCTTTGTTTTGAGTATACTGACCATCCTATGGTAGAGTGAGCTCACTGTAAGTCCATCACAGGAAGCAGTGGAACTGGCTTTGGTGAAATTACAAAGCTGTGAGGTGATGTGGGTCATCTGTGCCCTCTGAGAATATTTTAGGCAAATAGGATTTGGATTTAAATCCATATTACTGAGTAATTCTCCTTGGTACGTTTAGCTCCAGTTTGATTTAAGATGTAAAGAACCCTCTAAAGGAGGGCAGCAAGGTATATTCCACATCACACTCTTCTGCTATATAGGGTTTGTGCCTACAGTGCCTCGAGCAGCTGGCAGCAAAAAGGCACAAGTCTTTAGGAGCCTCAGACAGACAGCAGCAGCCAGAATGCCTTCCATCTGTCTGCACAGTGCTATCATTCATCAGCTGTGCCATGTGTGACGGCTTGGCCTGCTCCAGAAGAGCTGAGACATGACTGTGTCTGCATATCCAGGAAGCATGTCAACCTTCATGCATTTCAGGCTTTTATTTCATGATCCAGCATTGGGTGCTTGGGCTGCATGTGACTTCGTAAGATTCACAGTGGTTGCCTTCATGGTCTGTGTAGGCAGTAGCGTTTTCCTACGAGCAGTCACTATTTCTAGTGCTGTTAAATAAAGCAGAATTATATGACGTGAAGCAAAGTTAAAAGAAAAATAAGTTTAATATTAAATAAAGTCATTAACTCTGTTGGCTAGATCGTATCTTAATAATTGCATAGTTAAGTTCTCTGGGTTCAGTATCATAAAAACTGTTTATTTCTTTGCCAGTCAAGTTGTGCTACCTCTCTTGTATTTATAGGCCTGCATTCTTATCCAAACTCTTTTTTTTTAGCAAGTTGGGAAAAGTAGGGGTCAGCTGTGTATCAAATCATTGCATCAGATGTTTGGATCCAGGCAGTAACTCATTATGTTTTTGAGTTACACTGCAGAATCTACTAACCTTACTTTCTTCTGTATTGCATTCTTTCCAAGCCTGTGTTAAAAGAACTGATACCTCTTGGGTACCAGTGAGCAAGCAGCACTTCTGGGGCAGCTCCTCACTGATCTCCGCACAGTTTGTCTGAGTTCTTTTCTTGAATACTCTGGAAACAAGCATCATACAATGCGATTATTCCCAACCATCTCAGAGCAAATCCAATATATATGAGGTGGCGCTGAAACTGTGGCCCCTGGGATTTGCTAATTTGTAAATCTTGTTCTAGAGAGTAGGTCAGGGCTAGATATACAGATAGCATGGACAGATACTCTTCCTGTCAGAATGAGGTGCCAGAGTCTGTATCTGCCCCCCCCACTTGACAGTGTGCTTTGGATAGGGGGAAGTTTTGTAGGATGTCACTTTGTCGGTACAGTCTTTAACTAATTTTGATGAAGATACCCTACATACATTTCTGTTCTGCAAAAAGCTATTGAACTGTGGTGCCAGGAACCCGCATGTGCGACACCTATATTGAAACTGATGGCAGAATTCATGCAAAACAGGTAAGAATCACATGGAAATTAGCTAAGTGAGTCAACTAAGTAATATTGCAGTTCTGTCTTTCTGGCTTTGTCTTTAACATTGCTACTTCTGTAGATTTGGGAACAACATTCACCAACAAAATTCAGCTTTCAGTGTTGTTGTTTTACCATCAGGAACATACAAAAGCCTGCTGTGATTTTATATTAAAAGGTAGTGCAGTAGTGTGCTTTAACTAGAGATAAATATTGACTTCATAATTAAATATCTGAAAATAGTCTCCTGTCAAGGTTTGCTGCAGGCTGAATTGTTGCCTTAAGCCAAGCAGTGTATGTATGTGTCTCTAAAACTGCAACTCCCTGACAGTTGTTTGTTTTTCCCTTAGTTCAAAATAGGAAAGAATATTATCCAACACAGCATTATTTATAATCAGCTTGTAGGTGGCTTGTCCCACATCTAAATTCTTCTCCATGGGCTTCCTGAAAAGGCCTCAGAACAATTCTAATAGGTGATATCAACACTTTACATTGCAGGTGTTAGAATGGAGTTTCTCTTTTACCACTAGTAGCAGAACAGTTTATTTTGGGGATGTCACAGTTGTAAATATTTAGTGTATTTCCCAAAGGAAAAAATGAATTTGAAATGAAAAATGGATAGTTAGTGTCTCTGTGCTGGTTATCCTCGTGACCACAGTAATTGGGGTTCTCAGCAGAACAGGATGCGTTCACATCACTTGTTATCCAGCCTTGCAAGTAAAACGTACAGGGAGAAAAGTTGCAATATTTCAAGTTTGAAGAAATGCTTGGTGGAATGGAGTGGTAGGAAGTCCGTGCCTGAAATTGGTGAAGCATGATGTGTGCTGAAGGCCTGCGTGGCTGCGCGGCCTGGAGGAGAGCTCTTGGTTCCTGGGTGTGGGCTGACTTGTTGTGGCTTCCTCTTCGTTTTGTGTGGGTTAATTATGTCTTACATCCCATTGGGGGTGTAGTAAAGGCTGGAGAAGTTTAACCTATTCTTACTGACAATGCAGTGCGCAAGCAGTGTACCCTAATAGTGCTGCAGCTCATTCCAAGGAGAGATTGTTAAAACAGAAACACAGAACTCTAATAATAGCAAACTGAAGCAAAGAGGAACTGGAACAATAAATCTTATGCAAAAAATGACTACTTTCCATATTCATGTTGTTTTTCTGCCTATTGGTATTCAGAAAATCTGCCTTGCTCCCTTTAGAAAACATCATCTGGGATGGAGGTTTTCATGAGTTGTGTAGCGCATCAGTTTTTACAGGTTCGAATGCATTATACAATATACTTTGACATGGTTAAAATGTGTTACAGAGTATCAGATTTTGCATTATGCCACTCAGACATTGAGAAGATGTGCTCTTTTTGTTCTTGCCTCTGCGAGCCATTATCATTTTGAGCATGTGGAATCCATAGGCATTTTATACGTGGCACGTTTTGTTGATTGGTAAATACTCAGACTTCATAATTTGAAGCAAGGGACGCTGCAGGTAGGGGCTCAGAAAACAAAAAGTTGGACTTAGAGCAGTGAAAGATAGCTACTGCTGTCTGTGTGATAGGGGCCTTACAATCCACGTACCACCAAAAGCAGGCTAACACCCAGCCAGGGGTGATCTGTTTTACATCTCGCAGTGATGGCTCCTTTCCTGCTCAGGACAAACCAGTACTAAAGGTAAGGTTTTTGCTAAAGTTATTCAGAAACTTAAGATCTGTGTTGAAAATCAATTTTTAAGTTCTAAATGGCTGTCACTTAGGCATAAACTGGAGGTTAAAATTCTCTATCACAGAGAGAATAGACAAATACAGCAGAGACTTTGGCAATAACTCTGCTGTGTTTCCAGCTTGGGGACCAAACGATTTGTGTTGGCTTTGCTAAAGTGCTCGCATCAGGAGAGAGAGTGTGGTTCCATCTTAAGGTCTGACTGTTCATAGAATGCATGTGTTGCAATTTACCCTCACAAAACTGGCTTTCGATTGCCATGAATTTTATGTGGCAGAATAACCAGTGGGGATTGGCTGATTTTAGGAACAAGCAAAGGTAAAATTATCCCAACTAGTTGGACTGTGGGAAACTCTGCGTCATTCTTCTGAGCTGCCATGAAGGGAAGTACGTGTTGTCTTGTCACCATTTCTGGTTCAAGTTGTTCCATCTTTTGTCATGATTGTGTCTTAAGCAACCATATTTAGATAACTAGAGCGCACGTCATTGGAGTGAAAGCTGGAATTTATTGAGTAAATGTACTGTGTAATCAGCAAATACGTTTTCTCTGTTTTATGGAATTAGTCCCTTGCAGTTTTCTGTTTTGATGACCATCTGAGCACTTTTTGCTGTTATTTTTTTCAGGTCGCGACGTTTAAATTTTGATGGATCATCTCCAAATGGAATTCTTCTCTTCAGAGAAGCTAGTGAAATGATTTGTACACACATAGGTATTCATTAACATTTCCTCTGCAGTGTCATTCTTTACCTGTCTTGTGATATAAAAATCCTGCTAGTTCCTATCCCTGGCCACTGCTGAGTTTTAGAGAAGGAAGCAGGACTGTGATGTGCTACCACTGGTCTCAGCCCTTTGTGAGCTGCAGAGCTTGCTGGCAGACCTTTGGAGCTCCATTCTTTCACAGATGGGGATGCGTTCGTGTAGCATTGTTGCTTGTATCACTTTAACTCCTCTTTTAGTAACTGTAAATGGATTTCAGCAAAGATACGAATACTCGTGAGGTGTTTGATCTCGGCTACTGATTGATAGGTGTGGGTTGATTTTATATATTCAAATTATATTCCAGCAGCTCCAAGACATAATAGGACCATAACAGCTTTACCCTAGAGCACTGTTACAACTGTTCATAATAAGTTGCTTCATTTTACTGTTCCCACTCAGGTATTCAATTGCAACAGGTCTGTGACACCAACTGTTTGTAATAGACTTCAGCTAACTTCGTAGCTTAAAATTTCACTTCCTAAATATTTTGAAAGGAACATTAGCATATTTTTGTAGATTTGTGGTTTGTGTACAAGGAAGTAGCCATAAATGTCCTGCTACTTTTCAAGAAAGAAAACTGGTACATCAGATATGCTTTCAGTGCATTCAGGCTGCATTTTAGGTCTGGAAATTGTGTTTGTTACGTGGCTGCTTGTAAAAAAAACCCTTTGGGTGTAATCTGCTTTTGAACTGCAGGGTATGGAAACAGTATATGCAGAATGCATTTATGTAGGACAGAAGAAAATTATCTGTGTAACTCTCATTCCTTGCCAAAACATTTCTCTGTTCTCTTTTTCAAATACGCCACCTTTTAAGCTGGCACAAACCTTTTAGCTATATTCTGAGGTACGTTTGTGACAGTGATTAAAACAAAAAGAATTAGGTTTTCCTTGTTGGGAAGACAAGAGGTAAACTTTCAGATTTCACTATAAAGTTTATAGTTTGCATTTAACAGCTGGAAATTTTCTTTTAATGATTTAAAGAAATGCAAATGTAATCTTGAGCTTCAAGCTCGCTTGTCCTGCAGTACTTGACCCCACTGCCATTACATTTTCTTTTGTTCTTTTAATTGCAGTCAGCCTTTATCATCATTTCTGCTCTTACTGAAAAGCTACCTAATGATTGTTCATCCAGTTATCTTAGCAGTGGGCCTCCAGTCTGTGATCCTTGCTTAGTCAGCCATAAGGCCCCAGTCTTCTTCATTCTTAACTCAGGTCTACAGTATGCTCTATTAAGAAACCTTTTGCTTTCAAATGCAAAACGTGTGTGTGTGTGAAATTCATGAAGTTCTCAGTCCTAAAGGATTGGTAGTTCTTGTGCACAGGGACCAGACAGCATCTTCTGGCTCATGCTAGAATTTAATTAAGCACTGTATAAGGAAGTTTCAGGACAGTGCAGACTTAAGATGTAATGAAGCAGTGGAGCCACAGAGCGTGCTGAAGGCTGTGACCAAACACCTGTTGCTGCCTTAGTTAAATGCTGGTTCTTGTGAAAAGTCGTGAGGGATGTGTGGCATCAGTTTGGAGATGTGTGTTGTAGGAGGACCTGAAGTGATGGTGTAAGAGCTTTATTCCACAATTTCCTTCCCTGTCCTCCATAACTGTTTTGTTCTACTCAATACACATTGCAGTAGCAAAAGGAGGAGTGCTCTTAATTTCCTTCACAATAAAATTTTTAAACCACCTGTCAACTTGGAGGAAAGATATGGAGATGGTAGAAAAGCCTCTACTCAACGTTTGTGTGTAATTATAAATGTAATTATATAAGTTTTTTCTGTTCTGCTTTTAAAACACATTCACATTCTCACCAGAGTCAGGGTCGCTGCAGTGTCTTTCCAATACTTAAAGATATTTAGAGAAATTGTTCACGTTTTCTCTTCTTTGAGTGATTGTCAACATTGATTCCAGGATTAGACTCGCTGCAAAATGAACATGAAAGAGCCCCCAGCGCAGTCAGCTGAAGCAGCCTCTAAAAGCAGTGATTTCCAATAATCCAGCTGGCTCTGTGCTGGCACAGATGGGCAGCACTGGCCTGACGGCCGCCTCGGCTCAGCTGCGGGCCCTGCAATAAGCGTCCTAGATTAGCGATATTTCAAACTGCTGCAGTTCTTTTCTGAAGCGGTCATTGGTTCACACTCTGGGAGGCTTTTACTGCCCACTGTAAGTATTTCAAGATATACTGTAATTAATCACCTTGGAATGATTGCTGTTAACGTTTTTAGCATTTATCGCCAGTTACCGGTTGATGGGATTTCTGTTCCAGTGGAAAGAACGGACGGAGCTCTTTTGGAAATGTGGTGTAAGGGTTCATTAATGTGCTTAGGTATGATCTCTTGAACACACAAATCTCTATAAAAATAATGATACTGAGTGAGTTTTTGTTAATTTGAAATGTCTTTCTGAATACATGAAGATCTATGCTGTTTTTAAGGAAAACTTTAATACTGCATGGCTTTTTTTGAATCGGTATTTCTCCTTTAAGCATATGTGATCTTTGGAGACGTGCTGGGAAAGATGACCATGCAAACCCAGTGACGATCACGAAGTTCAGCACAGTGTATTTGAGCAGTGTTTGCAGTCCCGTTCTGAACAGCTCTGTGATCCAGCTGTATCGTAAGTGTGAGAAACTTAACATTTTGAAAGTGATGGTTGAGATTCTCACCTTCAGCATGATTTTATGGCTAAAGCATTAGGGAACAAATAGAAGATGGGCTGCGGATTTCAAGAAATAACATTTGCAAGGATTTGCTGTTTACCTTGTCGAGTCAGCCAGCCCTGTTGTATGTGCCTGCAGTTTACAGGGAGCTCCTCAAAGTTGATCAAAAAGACTTCTGAAACTCGGGGTGGATTTCATTGTAATCCGAAGTGTAATAATTGCCTTTTTAAACTAAGAGAAGCACAGAGATGAGATGAGACAGAGGGGGCAAAACGGAAGTAAACATTTCTTTCCTCATGGTGTCCTTGTGGGCAAGTCCTTCCTTTCTTTCAGTCTCACTCTCAGTTCATCCACTGTTGCAGTGGGTTCCCATACAGTGTGCCCAGGCTCCTGTCGTCCTTGAGAAGTTTCTCCTGTCACTTGAAGGCCCAGCTGTGCTTGTCTTGGCCACCCCAGCCTGAACACCAGGCTCGCTACCCCTCACCTCTGCTGCTTGCTCTGCCCTGGATGCTGAGCTCCTCTCACAGAGTCAGAGCAGTTTTGGATAACACACAGATCCTTTGCAAAGATAGCTTGCTTTATGTGATGGGAATCATCTTAAATTTACATATGCCTTTGTTCTGTGTAAACGCTGGGCTGTTGTTTCAATGGGAATAACTTTTCTAACCAAACAGCTGGTAAACTCGTGCGGCACTTTCTGTCCATCTGAAATTCTTCCAAAGCTTGTTCATGTCCATTTATGTACAGCTGGCACCTGCATTTACTGTGTATGTTCTGTAAGATCTGTGCCAGGCTGGAATAAAGGTGGGGAAAAAGTTAGTGCTGTGGTGTTAGGGTGTGCATGAATGAATATGAGTAGAGATGCTGAAATCTTCTTACATCTCTTGACTGAAACATAACGTGTTTTTCTCTTAGACTTGTGTGTAGTCATTTCACATTTTTGAGTGAAAAGCAGCAAAAAAAGTCCCAAGCGACTGTTTTTAAAATAATTTCAGCACTGAACAAAATTTAAAATGTGAAGTCTTTGTGCTTTTGAAAATTCGCACTTCAGCAAGTGTGTGGTTGTGCTTAGCAGGTCTGGCTTTGTGATTAGGGCTGCTGATTTATCCAGTAATGACATCGTGCTGAGGGCGGTTCTGACTAAGAGGTCTTTACAAATGCTATATGTTCCAAAGATGTAAACCCTGGCATACGATGCGAAAGGCACTTAGATGGTCAATTATCCTTGTTAGGATCTTCTCCATTATGGCTCGAGACTGAGTGATACAGTGATGTAAAATAAACAGCTGAGAGAAGACAATTGAAAGGAGATTGAATAGTATGGTCCACCTTTCCTCATTGCCAGTATATCTCACTTTTAATTCTGTATGTGCAAGTCTCCTCATTGTGTGTTTTTGAACTCCCAATTGTATAGGAATTATGCTTCAACATGTCTTGGGACAATCTATTTTTGTTTTGTGGCTTCTTTACATTTTAGTAAACCTCTTCCCTTTCATTATAGAAGACCGACATAAAAATAATATTTTCAATATGCTGGTTTTATTTATCTACATTCTGTCATGATATACTTTGATGTAAGTTTTTAATTTTGCTTCAGCTTTCAGCTGTTGTAGCAGTTACTGCTCAGGGTCAGCGATGAGGTTAGCCACAGTAGCACAAAACAATTTCCTGTTCTCACAGCCCAGGTAGCATTTGGATGTGGATTAAATTTTACCACATTTTCCAGTAGCCAGACACAATTATTTCTAATGAGCTTTAAATTGCTTCTAGAGCATGTATTTCAAAACTTAGTGTTGTGATCCATTCAGTGCTAGCAATTTCATAAGACAGCACTTCTTCTTCTGAGTTGTGGTTAAGCCGATTCTTGCAGTACTGCAGGCATTTCTAATCAGTAGATTTGCTTACAAGTGACTTGCTCACTGTTCTCAATTGCTGTTCATCTGTTGTCCTCTCTTCTGCAGTGCTGCTTCCATAATATATTGTTCTTCATTACTGACTCGGATTTCATCATCTTTTTCTTTTGGCAAATTTATCTTGGCATTATTCATGCTGCTTGTGCCGTTTTGAGAGGTTTTAATGCATGTTTTGTTGTTCTGGAGGCTTTAAAAATTAGTTTTTGAAGTTTGCTCTCATCTTTACGATTCATGTTTTCCTTTTGTTTTCTATATAAGGCCACTTTGCTATCCTGCCCTAGCATTCTGAACACGTGGAAGGCATACATTCAAAACTCATCTTTATGGGGCAGTAGTGAATAATAAAAAATATGAAAGTGGAAAAGACAAGAAACATTATTTTTCCCTTTGTAAATATGGTAAGTTTTCACAACCTCTGTTCAAGCTCACCGAAGTATTTTTTTTTTTTTTTAACTTAATCCAATTGACGCTTTAAAACATTATTTGGTTTGGTTGCATTATTACCAGTGCTGCTTATTGAACTGAATTCTAGAACATGCCCTGCTTAACGGAAGGAAATCATCTCCGTATTATAGCTCCTACTGTAAAAGCAATTAAGCGAGAGCATGAAAGAGAAGCTGCCTGTCCTGACATGCTCCCACATCTAGGAGGGTTGAGGGAATGAGCTGTGCAAAGAGCTCTGGAGCATATTGCCTGTGGGGTTCTGAGGCACGGCGATGTTATCTTCAGTCAGAGCATCCCGAGATGGTTTGTGCCTGGCTTTGTCTTCCTCCTATGCATGCACGCATATTTTTCCTACAGCTCCTTCTTCCCAAAGTGCTGAGATGCAGACACTGCTGGCCAAACACAGACACTGATTTCCTATATACCAGTGTCACCCAGTATCTTCAAAATTCTTCTTCTAACTCCTGCAATGATTTTGTATTTTCTCCGAGTCTGAAGGAGTTTATAATACTTTGTATGTAACGTATTGCTGTGAAATCCAGGGCACAAAGTTATATTAAAAATTATTATTAATTTTGAAACTTGGCCTATTTTTAAGGTTTTGCATTATTCTGTTTCTCCCATGTTAAGAATTTGGCCTAAGTTGTCTTTTTATTTGACTTTTTAATCCCTGGCAGTAACTCTGAAAGTTCGCTGATTGGTTTCTGCAGTTTTCATTCTGACAGGAGCTGTGAATTTCAAATTCCATCTAAAAATTCTTTACATCAAAGGTCATTTTTATGGTGATTTAATTTCCTTAAATCATTTCCTATAACAATCGTTTATGAAATTGCATTTCAGTCTTCTGCTGTAAGGATTATAAATGTCAGCATACCCTCAGTAGCTGTTCTTGACCCGATCCCAAGTCCTTCAGCAAATTCCTTTAGTTCAGTAGTATCACGGTGCGTGAAAATACTCCCCTGAAGCTCCTGCTAAATGTTACATGTAGAACATTCTTCTTTTTCATCTGGTCAGGCATAGCACCGTACTTGATATTTTTTTTTTCCAATAACTAATGCTAAAACACCAGTCTGTTGCAGCACAGTGTCTATTGACTTGTAGGCTGATGGCTGGGGGCACTGGTAACAGGGACCACGAGGTCTCTCACCTCTGCTGCTAATTTGAAATGAGCTGTTCCTACTCTTAGGCCCTTTTAAAATGAGTCCATGAACGCAGAACAGTTCTCTGTGGACTCCGTTCACTTGCAAAGAACAGCTTTTAATCTTGCACTAGTCACTAATTCTTCTCAGTGTTTTCATTAGAGGGGATGGGCACTGAATTCCTCCCTGCCAGAGCTGCCTGGGGTGAGGCTGGGTTGGTGCCCTTCTAGATGGAATGTGCTGTGCTGATAAATGGATTTGAGGTTATAATCATCCAGTGATTTTTTTTGCTTGTTTTTTTATGAAGTAATAAAAATGCTAGAAGATCAGCCTTGGAATGTAACTCCTGTAATTCATGCTCCCAAGCTAAGGGATTCCTAGGGTTTTTTTTCAACTTCCTTCCTCATCATTCCATTTTTCCATCAACTTCCAATTAATTTCTGTATACAGTA